TAACTTCTCAAAGAAAATATTGTCCACAATCTGAAAGCCTCCATTTCGGGTGATCCAAAGCGTCACATTCTCCTCGCCCTCCATCATACTGGAACATGCAACATATTTGCCGCCTTTTCTATTAGCAGTCAATTCCGCCAGGCAATCCAGGAACTTTGTCTTCAATTGATGATATCCTGAATCTGAAATTTGGTCATGGTAGCTTGTGTCTACACTAATCGCATCGCTGTCGGTAGTAGACTCGTTCTTGTCAGACAGCTCCGTGCCCAAGGAGACTGGCTCAACTTGTCCATCGTTTCGAAGTGCAAGAAGATTTGCGTAGGCAGTGAATTCTCGTTTATTAAGTCCTAGGAGATTCCAGTTAAAGTCTTGAGTCATGATGCTAGATTTATGGATGATTTTTGTGAGCCATTTAATGAAGGTGTGAAATATTAACCATGTCATGCGTGCATGCGGAGGTGACCATTATCGTATCACAGAACATACGCCACAATATGTGGCTTTGCCATGTAAACTCACAATTGCAAAGTCTAACATGACAGTCAGTCTATTGAAACTTGAAGTTGAAAGCATATCAGCGTTGGTAGGATTGAAGTAGAAATTAACCTAGTTCGTCCTTGATTTATGCTCGTGATTAGTGGGTTCGCGCTTACTAGAGAGTATATGGAAGTTTTGTATTATCAGAAAAGAAGCTGAGAATTGAGAAGTCTCGGACTTTTCACGTGAGAACATGTTACAAGATCTATTGAAAAGAGATTATTGATGAAAAGGGTAGGTTTATGTATGGGATAAAATACTTAGACAAATCTGCCATCTGGGGGAGCATCTCGTTTGTGATTTCGCTATGAGTTTATTGATCCATTGTCTGACTTGAAATTCTTCAAACTTTTAGGAATTCGTTATTTCAATAAACTCATTAATGGCATAATGCCAAAACCCAAGAGACTGTCGCTATTGGGTTGTGTTCTGGACTATCGAATACACTGATCTGGTTTGAGGTAGCCATTTCCTCTTTGAAAAAATACGGATCAACACAAGCTAGAGTACTAGTCATGAGGCAACAAACGGGCAAACAATGTACTCAAAAACGTATGCTATACATGTATATAAACTAAACTTAAACATTAAAACCACGACTAGTGTTTATATACGTGAATATTAATATATCGCATCAATCCGCATCCACATCCGAACTATTCGTACAACGCTTGTTGCCACCATGCACATCTGTTGTTTGCAGTGGTATCAGTTTGCACACTCCCCAAACCAGTAGTTCCAAGAACGATTGTCGTGGCATTGCTTTGGTATTCTGGGAAGAATGGCACTCTAACCCCATTGGGATTACCTGTCATAGCGAAGTTCATGATGTATCTTTGTAAATCAGCTGCTATGGTAGCGTTTACTGGCAACCCATCGTTTGAGGTAGTAGTGTCACCATTGAAGAACGTGTATGCAATGTCTTCGCCGTGAAGTCCGGGTGGAACGGCAAAGTAGTAGGAGTGTGTTTCGTTAAGGAACGCGGTGTTCAGGTAGCGAGTGTTGCACGTGAAAACAATTTCGGCTGTGATCAGGGATGCTCGTTCCCAAACACTCGTGTATGGATAAGAACCATTGTAGACTGGTGGATAAAGGGTTCCAGTCACGTAGGCCAGTGTGGAATTGGATATGGTGGGCAGAGTTGTTGTAAGATCGGTAGCGATATCGGCGTCTGTAGAGAAGAAGGGAGATGTGAAGAATGCACCTTCATTGGAATTGTGCCCTGTCATGATCTTGACGTTCGTATCGAATTTGCCCTCAAGAAGTAATTTGGCCGGTAACTCAGGTACATAAGTACCGTCAACTGCCGGTCCGAAAGTAAAAGTACCATAAGGAGCCGATCGCGCAGTAATAATAGTATTAAGCCCGGCCAGCGTAGCGAAGTCGAGATTTCTCAAATCCGATACGGAGGTGATGTTAGGTCCAATAAGTTCTTGTGCTTGAGTGATGACGTTTTGAAAAGTCGCCTCTTGTTGGGCATCAGAATAAACGGGGGGATAGCCAGGACTTTGTAGGATGGCCTGAGAGAAAGGCGCATTGCCATTGCTACCACCATATGCTGTAATGTGATGCATGATCGACCCAGCTCCAGCCGATTCGCCGATAACTGTCACTCGATCCGCATCTCCACCAAAGAGGTAAATATACTTTTGTATCCATTCCAAAGCCAATCTTTGATCAAGAAGAGCAGCATTTGCTGCTCCACTTTCCTCGAATGTGGGACCAGAAAGCCATCCCTATACCTGGTCAGTTACTTTCCTCCAAATCAATGGATATGAACTTACAAAGAGACCAAGTCTGTAGTTCAAAGCAACATAAACTACACCTTCATCCCCATTCTCTTGACTCCTTGAAATCAACGTGGCCGGGTTGCCTGATCCAAATTTTGATCCGGCGACATAACCACCTCCATATAACCAAACAACAACGGGGGCGCTACTTTCACCACAAGAATCGTATATAGACTTTGGGACAATGACATCGAGGAACAAGCAGTCCTCTGAAGTCAACGGTGCTGGCGCGGCGAGTCCCGAGATAGTGAGATTTTTCTCGACTGCCTCTACTTCTGCCTCGACGAATTTCAAGGTAGCTGTATTAGCTCCTTGAAAATAGTACGAAGCGACTTCTTCCCAATAAGGTGTTCCCTGCGCACAGATAGCACCCTGCTGGCCATCGTTGATGGTTCGGTTTACTTCAGTTGGTTCGATCGGAGCGGCAAATCGAAGATTTCCTATAGGCGGGGCTGCGTATCGAATATTCGAGAAGTTGTAGTACTGTCCTGTCTCCTGTAGTTGTATTTAGCATCCACTCCAGAACGTGACCGATTTGAGATGGCATACATTTATCGTAGCCCGGTGAAGTGCGTAGTCAAGATCAACGACTGGTAGGGAAGCATTAGTGGGCAAAGCGTAGGCAGTTTGAACTGCACAAGCTGCAATTACAACGGCCTTGATTGCAATCATGTTTATTTTTTAGAAAGGAGGCAATTTGCAGTGGAGCAAACGGCATAAAACAACCTTTGAAGAGGGGAAGCCATCTCGTATATAACGATCTCAAGTCAGCGTGCAACGGTACATCTGCTTCGTTGCCACGGTGGTTTATCAACCAACACTTGTTTTGGCGCCCCAAAATTATATTAATTACATTGTTGCAACTTGCAAGTCTGCAAAGGCTTGCCATTAACTCGATATTCGGAAATGAGCATTTAATCGGTGCACTAGCAACAGGCGGGGATGACTGGTTACTAGGATAAAGACGGTATGAAGATTTTAGAAGCTGTCATCCAAAGACAGGAGAAGGGACTACCTGGCACCTAGCCACTCATAGCTAAGAACTCATCGGGAACAATCCCTTTAGAGATGTGCTTTGAAATTCATTTCAGGGGTAAGGACAATTTAGTCCGGGGAGAAAGGAACATTCTATCGAAGATCTCACTCGTATACAGCTGAGAGTGACATGCCTACGCGTTCACATCACACGCGAGATCTGCATTGAGATGAAGTTGCGAAGTCTAGGGGTTGCTAATCCAGTTCCGGTCGGTCCGTACACACACGAGCACCGAGTGAAGTTTGTGCAATTTAGACAGTTGGCCCATTTTATTTTGTGTTTACGCGTAAATAAACATGTCAATGGCTTCCCAATATAGATTGTATGTAATTTCGGTAAGAACGTCAAGCAAGGATATGAAGGTCACATCAAAGCTTGTTTTCGCTTGTCTCAGGGTCTAGGATTACACCGCATCGTTTTGACGTGATTATATCATTGGACAACGGATGCGATTCATGAGAGCGAACTGTAGTTTGGCAGCTCAGCCTTACGCTCGAGCCACCACCTCATTCCCGTCTCCTTATTCAACCAAGAAGCATTATACACTTATTGATGCGAAATATTGACCCCGCGCATTATGTCTACAATTGCCCAACCTCGAGAAAGCTCCGTTAACGGGCGTCGCGTTCCTTTACTCACTACACCTACTTCCTCAACACGACCGAGTCTAGATCATTCCCGTTCAGCTGAGCCGTCTCCGAATCGAGGATCCTCAGTCGCGATACCTCGACGCAACCGTGCCGCTTTGCGAGAATATTATAACCTCAGAAAGGGACAAGACGCTCCTACTGACGATGCGGCATCCGAAGTTTCCTCAATACACTTTGATAGTGAGGTACAAGAAAGCGAAATGGACAAGGACGGATTTGACGGGGAGAAATATGTGAAGGAGGTTCTGGAAAAGCAAACACTGGGAGAGCTATTGCGGACCTACAATGGAGTTCTGACCGATATAAGGGCCCTAGACGCGGAGAAAAAGGCACTGGTTTATGATAATTACAGCAAGTTGATTACGGCAACAGAGACAATCAGGAAGATGAGGACAAACATGGACCCATTAAATCCAATGGCCAGTACGCTCGACCCGGCTATCGCGAGTATCTACGAAAGGGCTGAGAAGATCAAGGTTGAGTTGAAAGAAGGCATTCCGGAATCACAAAGGAGACTCATGGAGATGGGGGCAGAGGAAAGGGCGGCATTCCAGAAGAAACAAAACATGAAGAAGCTTGTACTTCAAGTATTGGAGACACCTGAGAAGCTGAGATCATTGGTCGCGGGGGGCAACGAAGACGAAGCCAGATTGGAATGGGAAAAAGTCTTAACGCTGTTAAGAAGATGGAAAGAGAGAGGTGTAGGGGGAAGTGACGTGCAGGCATGTATAGAAGACGGAGAGGCAGCTTTGAGGGGCGAGCCTCCAAATGAGAAGAGCTGGGTTAACATAAGAGCAAAGAGATCATGATGACGGCGATAGTTTCATCACAGCACAACAACGACAGCACCACAGCATAGCGGTAATATTTTGAGAGTATAACGATACCGTAGAGACAGCGATAGCACGACAGCATACGAACTATTATTGTTTATCAGGAACACAAGCGGACAGTTATTCGTATAAACTTGCAAGGACACCCGGTATCTTACCAGTTCACCTCATCCTTGTGAATTATATCAAAGGGATCCCTATCGATCTCACTTACCGCGATATCCGCTTTCCCCTCCATTGCCTCCGCCAATGCAGACTGCATTCGGTCCTTTAGATAGGCTCTTTCAGTGTTGCTATGGAATGCAGTGACAACACATTTACCCTGCTCAACCGCTGCCAAGGCTTCATGGTGGCTCAATTCGCCAGTGAATAATAAGTCAACGTCCAAGCCGTTCAGCATGGATCCTCCAGATCCGGCACATATGCCAATGGAAGAAATTTCAATAGATGACTTTTCTCCTCTAGGTATGGATTGTGGAACCGCAACGGAAAGTCCGGATATACGGTCTCCAATTTGGAGTGAAGATTGCATCCGTGCAACAAGATCTCCTAGCTTCTGCGGTTGCTTGAATCGAACGATTCGGCCATATCCGGCACCTTCGAACCCATCGGGTATATCCTTGATGGAATTAATAATCGAGCGTTCGTGATCAATGGATTCAGCACCGATACTATTTTATATCAGTCTCATTTCACGAGTATCATTAAAATTGAGCATACGCTTGATTCTTTTTCAAGGGTCGATTGGTGACTATATCGGCAAGCCAATCATTGAGGCCTTCTGGCGCAGCATCTACAGCTGTATGAGGACTGTAAACACTGATTCCCTCTTGGGCAAGACGGAGCAGAGAACTCTGTTGGGAGTTGGCAAGGGTGACTGCTTTCAGGCCACGAAATATAATAGGATCTTAAAAATGATTAGAAATATGATACATTCGCTCTAATAGACACCAAATGTACTTACGATATGTGACAATGATTGAATCTTTCCTGCGGATAGCTTCATCTGCAACCCCCTTTGTGAGATCAACCGTCAGAAGAACTGAGTCCTTAAGGTAATTTTCACGATGTGGTGCCTCCAACAGAACTTGAATATTATGAGTGAAAGATTCTCAGAGATAGGTAATCAAACTCACGCCCCGTGTTATCAAAACTGCTGTCCGCGAGCTTTTCTGGATATCTGCAATGCACCATGAGAAATGGACTATTTGGGAGATATTGATTGACCATAACTTACAACTTTCTCATAGCCGCAACAACAGCTTGAGTGAACGGAGAAGAAGTTGTAGACATGGTTCTCTTTGATATTGCAATGTTCTTGGAAACTATTCTTGAGAACATCACGTTCATATTGAGTTTATTTTGTCTACAGCCCAACTAGCGATGACTTTCTTCCAGAGTGTAATGTATTAAAGCGGCGCCATTTTCGCATCATCACAATCGCAATCGTAATCCCCCGATTTCGCATAACAATAATTTTCGAAAAAGTTCTAACACAGTGTTTGACATATACCGATATTATATTACCACAGAAACAATGGCAGAAGCTTCAGGCGTATCTGCTGAAGCTCTCAAGATCAAGATCACAGAGTTATTAAATGCAAGTCATGTCGAAATTGAAGATATGTCGGGTACGGATACCTTCAACTGCCCCGCAGTATCCCCGCAATGCTGATTGATTCTGGTCTATAGGAGGTTGTGGACAGGCATTCTCTGCCGTGATTGTTTCACCGCAATTCGAGAAGAAGACTACATTGGCAAGGCATAGGTTGGTGAACGGAGCGCTGAAGGCGGAGATTGCGGCCATCCATGCCTGGACTCCCAAGTGCTATACACCGGAAACAATGGGAGAAAGCAGAAAGAGGACGGCAAGGAGGCAGTTGCGCCAGGAAAGAACACTACCGGGGAGGTTGTGGATGGGACAACCGCTTGAGAGGGAGAAGGAATCGGAGTTCTGGCGCAGAATGGACCTATACCACAGCTTCTGGGGTGATGATAGCAATCGGACGGGGAGAGGAACGGGGCTTACAGGGACAATGGGGAACGGGGAAGAAGAGCTATGATATACCAAGGAGTCACCGGGAAGGAGAAAATCTGTTTGTGATTGAGCCCTCATGTAATAGGCCATGTGGGTAGTATTTCATCTTGGCACTGTGGTAAAGCAAAAGGGATCACTGCGTTTGTGATCACGATGCTTCTCTACACCCCGGCCCTGTGAAGATCAGGGACAGTGTCTTCCAAAGCAGGTGTGTTGGACTCCTGAGTTCTTCATTCACACATTCCAGAGTCCTGCACGCTCAATCATACGAGGCCCAGGAACTTTATTCAAGCCTCTAGAAAGCCAAGATAATGAAAAGTTTCGTACAGCAAATTGTTGACGTCTCTTTCCAGTTGCCTGGATAGAGCATTCCATCGCTAGTAATCAGGTTTGAACTTTGCTGACACGCTGTGCAACAACACTGAATACTGCAATAGATGATATGAATAAGACTATGTTGTAGAACTATAATTCATGAGCTGAAAAGCCATAGATCTTCAATCTTTAAGGAACATACAGCATTCCTTGAATATGTGCTCTCTTCAGCATCTGTTCTTGCTTCAACAAAGAGCCTTCGAAGATTGGGTAAATTTGCCTTAGAGAAAGCCATCGTTAGTTTCGCAACTCAACAAAAATAAAAAGGGGGATTAATGAATGTTACCATATTGAAGTCTTCCAGGAGTTTATCCAACAATTTGTTTCATATGACTTATCTGACAGGGGATTCACATCTGGAAAGCACGATTGCTGGTCCCCTGTTCTTTCAAGATATAGCGAGTCCTTTACAAAGCGCACCAGGCTGAAGCTATCTGGTATCAACAATCTGCCCACTACTTTGACCCTATACTTCAATTACAACACAATCCACGAATCTCACGATTCTCCCTTTCTATACGGAACACTCCCTGATTCCCTTCTGGAAATTTCAAAGCTCACCTTAATTAATCCTTTCCACGAACCGTGGCCTTACCGTCAATCGACAACTTAGCCATCGGCGTATGAGGGGCACCCTCAAGGTCGCCATCTGTGTGAGCGATGGCGGTGAATAGGATTAAAGGTGCCTTCGCACCACCCAAGAAGGGAGAAACATACGAGTTGAGAGCTGGATTAGTATCTCAATATGCTTACGAGCGCAAAGAAGCAATTCAAAAGACCATCATGTCCATGACCCTGGGCAAAGATGTGTCTGCGCTGTTTCCAGATGTTTTAAAGAATATTGCTACAGCAGATTTAGACCAGAAGAAGCTGGTGTATTTGTATTTAATGTTTGTCAAGACTCTTTATTGGGATTTGGATGAATGATGTTGCTAATGTTCATCATTAGGAATTATGCCAAATCGCATCCCGACCTTTGTATTCTAGCGGTCAATACTTTCGTACAAGATTCCGAAGATCCAAATCCACTGGTGCGAGCTCTTGCGATTCGGACAATGGGTTGTATTCGAGTAGATAAGATGGTAGATTATATGGAGGAACCACTGCGGAAAACGTTAAGGGATGAATCGCCATACGTACGAAAGACTGCAGCAATCTGTGTTGCGAAATTGTTCGACCTTAATCCTACAATGTGTCTCGAGAACGGCTTCTTAGAAACTCTGCAAGAATTGATTGGAGATCCTAACCCTATGGTTGTGGCCAATTCTGTAACGGCGCTCGTGGAAATCAATGAGACTGCGCCAGAGACAAAGGCTTTACGTATCACATCTGCGACATTAAAGAAGATGCTCATGGCCTTGAACGAATGTACCGAATGGGGAAGAGTAACTATTTTATCTACTCTGGCAGATTATAAGGCTTCGGATATTAAGGAGTCAGAACATATTTGTGAAAGAGTATCTCCTCAGTTTCAACACGTTAACCCAAGTGTTGTCTTGGCTGCCGTCAAAGTTGTTTTCCTCCATATGAAGAATGTCAACGCGGATTTGGGAAAGCAATATTTGAAAAAGATGGCTCCACCTCTTGGTAAGTGAAATATTTATGTTCAAGGAAAACAAGGTGTCCTAGTCTGGACTGGCAGACATGATAAAAGCTCTCGGTGTTCCGAAGAACCATGATTTCCCAATGCAATTCAGTATTCCAGAGCATTTTAATTACACGAATCCAGAAACGGAAAGCTTCTGGTTGTTGGATTGCAGTCCGGACTATTGAGAACCTTGAGGGAGGATTGAGCTAATTAGTTGTAGTAACTCTTGTTGCTTCCGCACCCGAAGTCCAATATGTTGCCTTGAGAAACATAGATCTTCTCTTGCAAGCAAAGCCAGATATTCTTAGTAAGGAGTTGAGAGTCTTCTTCTGCAAATACAACGATCCGCCTTATGTAAAACTTCAGAAATTGGAGATTATGGTACGGATAGCGAACGACAAGAATGTTGATCAACTGTTATCGGAGCTTAAAGAATACGCTCTTGAAGTTGACATGGATTTTGTTCGAAGAGCAGTTAAGGCTATTGGTCAAGCAGCCATCAAAATTGAGAGCGCAAGCGAAAAGTGTGTCAACACATTACTTGACTTGATTGCTACAAAGGTCAACTACGTTGTACAGGAGGCCATTGTCGTTATCAAAGACATCTTTAGAAAATACCCAGGATACGAGGGTATTATTCCAACCTTGTGCAAGTATATCGACGAATTAGATGAGCCAAACGCGCGGGGAGCTTTAATTTGGATTGTTGGCGAGTATGCCGAGAAGATCAGCAATGCAGATGAAATCCTTGCAGGATTTGTTGAAGGTTTCATGGAGGAATTTACCCAAACTCAACTTCAAATCTTGACAGCTGTTGTTAAGTTGTTTTTGAAGAAGCCAGATAACAATCAGGGACTCGTCCAAAAAGTTTTACAAGTATCGACCGCCGAAAATGATAACCCGGATATTAGAGACAGAGCTTATGTATATTGGCGTTTGTTGTCAGGTGATCTTTCAATAGCAAAGGTATTTATGACTGTAATATTCTCTAACCAAGATCAGAATACTAACAACAAATCTAGAACATTATTCTTTCCGATAAGCCCCCTATCACCACAACCATGACATCCCTTCCCCCAGCACTCCTCGATCAACTTTTGACCGAACTCAGCACTCTCGCTTCTGTATACCATAAACCTCCTGAGACATTTGTGGGCCAAGGTCGCTACGGCGCCGATGCTATCCAGCACGCCGCTATTCAGGAACAACGTCAAAACGCCGTCGAAAATCCAATTGCAGCTGCCGTCGCCGCAGCCGCAAATGGTGCTCCTGCTCAAAATAACGCCGAGAATCTCCTTGACATTGATTTTGATGGTGCAGCTCCAGCAAGTGCAGATGCACCTCCCAGTGCTGGAACCAGTGGATTAGAAGGATTGGCAGGCACGCCTCAAAGAGTAGATAGTCCAGCCGCGGGTGCCAATGCTGGTGGTAGTATGGCAGATATGATGGGCTTATTTGATGCTCCTGCTCCTGCTCCTGCTGCTGGCGGCATGGGAATGGGCGGCATGGGGAATGATATGATGAATGGTTTTGCAGGGCTAGATTTGAGTGGTACTAGCCAACCTCCTAGTGCGCAAACGCAGTTACAGCAGGGTGGTGCGAAGAAAACAAACGAGGATTTGTTAGGGATGTTTTGAATTTGAGGGATGGGTAATAAGCAGTGGGTGGGTGGTGTTGTGAATGAATCTAGAGGGAATAGATCATTCGATGCAACCAATGGTTAGAGACTAGCAAAATTAGTATGTATGTATGTATTCAAGGCAATTCGAAGCAATCCAGCAAACAAGAGAGTGTGGACGAATGTGAGTTAATATGCTTTCCATATATTGTCAACTTGTATGAAGCGTGATTGAGTCAACGTCCATTGTATATGTGTGTCGTAAGTGTGTTTTCATAAAGAAAAGTGTGTCACTTTCAATATCTGATTGAACCGTAAGTTGTCGGTTTTGCTCCTACAAGTTTAACAAAACCCACCCGGCGAGCTACTAGATGGGAAATTGTTGAATCTCGATTTTCATATACGCGGGAAATTTTCCTACTAGCGACACCCTCGACTCTACCTGGGAAGAATATTCGTCTCAAATCTGGCTCTAATTTCCATCTGAGCTGTGGCAAACGAAACTCACCGGGGCGCGGCTGATAAATACTATAGCCTGACGGCCCAAGCTTCCGGAAGGCTGCAAGGCTGATGGGAATACAAGACATGAACAAGGCTACCAATACTTGCTTTATTATTTCGCAAATATCGTAAGTGTACATACGAGTAAATGTATTCAGATACAGCTTCTCTTTTTCTTTCCCTTGCCATACCATATTATCCTAATAAAGTTATTACGATACGATACGACATATTATGTCTTTCGCGCAATCGATCACCGCCAATTTCTAGCTGTCCTCTAGAAAATCAGTTCGTTCATTAATTTCTAATAACTCAACAAGCACTTCCTCCCCATCCCACCTCAACCCACTCCTCTCTCCAAGAACCAAAAAGAAAAAAATGAGCACCCCCAATCCCTCAACCCTACACAAACAACTCCTCCACTCCCTCTCCACCTCGCACCTCCCCCTCCCCAGCCCCACCTTCCTAAACGCCATCCTCACCCCCTCCACCACGCACCTCTCCTCTCTCCCCTCCCTCCCCTCCCTCCTCGCCACAACCCGCCACCGTCTCCTCTCCACTTCCCTCACAACCCCCAACCTCCTCTCCCCAGAAACCCCCTCCCTCCCCCCCTCCCTCTCAAACCCCCTCGTCAAAGAAACCCTCCTCGAAACCGACATCCCCGTCCAAGTCCTCGACATCCAAGACATCAGCCGCTCCCAAAGCGATCTCCTCCTCGATCTCGAGGCCGAGCGCCTAGGCGAGCGCACCCAAGGCCGTTCCATCATCCGCGTCGCAGACGAATCCTCCTCCTCCTCCTCTTCCTCCCCCCTCGATCTCGGATCCTCAGCCTCAACACAAATACTCCCCAACCACCCACCCCAAAATAAATCAACCCCATCCCACTCCCCCGGTCCTTTCAAACTCCACCTCCAAGACCGCACCGGCGCAACCATCTACGCATTTACGACTTCTCTCCCCGCGTCTTCTCCTCTGCAGGGAAAAATTGGGTTTCCCCCGAAAATGAATATCGGCTGTAAGATACTTTTGCAGCGGGGAACGCGGGTGCATAGGGGATGGTGAGGTTGGAGGGGAATACGTGTATTGTGCTTGGGGGACGGGTGGAGGGATTAGATCGGGCTTGGAGAGAGGGCTGGGAGGGGAGATTGCGGGAGAGTATTGAGAAGGGGAGGGGTGGGGGTGAATGAGCGGAGTGAAGTGGAGAGTTGATTGTACGGATGCGTGGAGGAAGATGCTGATGATCATATTTGGGATCAGTTGGGATGCTCAGTTGACGGTAGCAATACTGATATCGATATGAAGACATCATATCCATCCATCCATCTATCCATCCACACCTTGTCGTTTCTACAAATCACTATACCAGTCGCGTAGACACTACATGCCTATGTATTCCACCGACAAATTCAAGCTAGGGGGGAGAGAGAAAGATCTACGACTCAAAGCTCGTAGATCGCAATCAACAGGGACAAGAACGAAGTATTTAGAGAAGAGCAGTTCGTATCCGCTATTACTGGACAATGCACGAGAAGGGACACACCATGCTTCACGCAATAGAAATCAAACATCCTATCCAATCTCTCTGGAACATCATAAAAGCAAAGAAAAGCGTAGCAATACAAATACCAATACCAATACCACTCACATCCAAACACAAGTTACAACAAACACACGTAAACATCATATCATATCATATCATGTATGAATCTTTAAGAACCTTTATGAAATAGAAAACGAACCCTAGCAAATGAAAAGAAACATAAAAAAGAAGCCGTACGTAACATGATTTCATGCCATCATAATTTGCATTCCATCCTCCATCCCCATCCCATCCCATCATCTCACTTTCAAAAAAATCATCTCAAATGATATCCCGCCTCTGACTAATTCTCAGCCACCCCATCTGGAATTCCATCCTGTAAATTATGAAAAGAAAATGCTCTTTGAGTCTCCCCTGTTCAGTCATCCCACCCTCACTCAGGCTATCCAATTCAAAACGCAAGTTTGATAGCCATATTCTCTTATACCATCTTCGTAAGATCCGGTTATTTAAAGACTCTCTTTTGAGACTACACAAATCGAGTGAAGATTGCGTCACCAAGTGAAGCGAGATAAATACGGTCCAGAACAGAAAGTTGCAAGTACAGTTTCAAATGTTGGAAATTTCAATGCCACAAGTACCTTCTCTCTAGGACTAAATTAATCAATAGTTCAAGATTTAAATTTCCAAATAATGCGTTGAAGGATATCCGAAGCAATTAAAAACAAAATTAAAGGCAAAGTCTATCTCATGATCTCTTCATAAATCAAATTTTTGAGTTGTTCCTTGGTGAGATTGTCCTTGTTTTTGTCGAAATCAAAGAATTCTTCTGGAATGGGGTTGGCGGTTGGCTCATCTTCGGGGTCATGGTATGGTTCAAGGTATGGGTGCTTCAGTGCTTCTTCGACAGTGATTCTCTTGACTGGGTTAAAAGCGAGAAGCTTCTCGAGGAGGTCCAAAGCGAGATCAGAGGTCTTTGGGAACATGGCCTTGAAAGGGACCTTCTTCTTGAATGGCAACGATCGGATATATTCTCTTGCACGACGAGATTTGATACCATAGTAATCTTCCATGGTTGGAGTACCAAGAACGTCAAGAATAAGTGTGAGTTGGTGGTGATCTATGAATTATTAGCAAAGAGCATCGCTTCTGTACAGGCGTCACTCACAATCCTTTCCAGGGAACAGGGGCTTTCCGCTTAACATCTCGGCCAAGATACATCCAACAGACCAGACATCAATAGCCTTGGTGTATTCCTTGAATGTCAACATAATCTCCGGAGCACGATACCATCTGGTTGCGACATATTCTGTCATGAAACCAGAGTTATCTTCTTGGGATGCAGCCGATCTAGCAAGACCAAAATCGCAGACCTTCAAGTCGCAGTTGGCATTGAGTAACAGATTAGATGGCTTCAAATCTCTGTGTAAAACATTTGCGGAGTGCATAGCTTTCAAGGCTCGGAGGGTTTGGTAGATAAAGTATTGGCAGTGGTCGTCGGATAAATCTTGGGTGCGAATTACACGATGCATATCGGTCTCCATGAGTTCCTGCTATTGCGTTAGTACATTTGTCTTATTTCCACCTGACACTGCAAATTTACATACCTGAATAAGGTAAACTTCGGTGAAGGATTCATAGTTTCTTGGCTTCTGGATATCGAGAATGGAGATGATGTTTTCGTGATTGAAGTATCGGAGTAGCTTCATCTCACGGAGTGTTCGCAAACAGAACATGGAATGATCGAATGGAGTGATCTTCTTGATAGCGACCTTTTGGCCCGAAGGCTTGTGCAAAGCTGAACTATAAAGAGAAATCGAATTAGCACATCTCCATCTTCTGCAAGTTCCCGTCCTCTGCCTCCATTCGAAAGATTGTACGAGTAACAAAGTGGGGTAGCATACCAGACAACACCATAAGCTCCTTCTCCTACAACATCCTGGATATCATATTGTTCGCTGACATTGAAAGAGATCTTTCGAGATCCCGAGGCAGGATTAGGCGCACGAGCTGTCATGGTGCAATAGTGGGTATATGGAGCAAGAAGATCGTGTATTGCAGGATTGAAGAACTGGAAACTTGTCTACCAGTTATAAACACTAATAGACAGTTTTTACTGAAAGATTACAGGAATAAACCGTAAGTGCTGAAGTTGAAGGATGCTATTTTTATTGTAAATAGAGATGTCGAAGCTCGGGAACTTTTCTTTGTTGTCGTTAGTTGGAGATGTTCCAAGCGATGTCAAAGCAAAGTATGGATCGATTCACCCTTTTTTTTGAACCTTGTCTTGCAATATTCTTTCAGCTGGTGGGCTTTCTTTTCTCTAGAACAAATTGCTGTTGGAAGCTAAATTTGTACAAAGACAACAAGCTTTTGATTGAAAAGATTTGATTGATCTTTCTCGAAAGTAAGTCGTGAAGGTTGTTCTCAACACTTGTACCTGCTTGCGCTCGGTCCTGTTGTGAAGGTAAAGAATATCTTCAGCTTGTCGCAGCTTTGATATAACTCCAGCAAAGTCGTAATTACCAGAATGTAACCAGCTGAGATGATCTAGCCGTGAAGAAGGTTGATAGAAGGTAACGGGAATCGTGGTTTATCTATATGGGCCAGTAAACATAATCAGCATTTCTTGTTCTGTCTTATTCTTGTCCCGCTTTCACACACATCTCCTTCTCTTCTCTTCTCGCATAGAGACCAACCTCAAAAAGATTCTAGAGCTTCCAGAACAACTCGAGACTTCTTCTAACAAATGCGCAAATTGAATACGAAGATTGGAGACAATTCATCCGATATATAAACAGTTGGGAAAGGAGATATGCTGTACCTGTACTGTAATCTTTCCCAATATGTGTTCCAGACCAAGAGGTTCAGATTGCCCCGCTACAAGGATGAGGTTTCCTTTTTTCCAAGATTTCACGTTGGACCTTTGAATTCGGAGAAAGGTGACTTGTCGCAGAGTTGAGAATGATGTTTAGGAGAGATGGAAGGGTTTAAGACTTCAGATAAGGAAGGAAGAAAAGAAGAGAGGAATGGAATCCTTTTGAAAATAAGTTCTCTTTTTTCCGAATAGTCAAGTAATCAAGTTAAGTGGTAGTCAGTGGGTGATGGATGTTGTTGAAGGTAAAGTAGTAAAAAGCACGGGTGTAAGTGATTTTGAATGAGGGGGAAACTTTGGTGCTGATTGGAAGCTTTTTAGTGGAGTGGGATGAGATGGATAAGCTGGGTCCCTTCTTTTCTCTACCTAATCTACGACCTAAGAGGGAAAAGATGCAAGAGGTAAAGAGGTCAAGCAAGCAATGAATGGTCCAAGGTCCAAGGTCCAAGTCAAGAAAGGCAAAAAGTATTCCAAAGTCCAAATTCAGGGACGACGGAGAAAGATCTCAAACAGTAGTTGAATACTTTGGTATATGGTATGTATATGGTACATGGTATATGGTATATGGTATATGGTAGGTTATATGGTATAAAAAATACTAGTAATTGCCTAGTCAGTATGTGTCCCGAGGAAGAAGTGATATTGGCACCAGTATGGATAGTATGGATATTATGAAGGAATAGACAAGATGAAGACTACAATATTATTAGTATTAATTGTGTGAGAATTGATAGGTATAGAGATAACGGACTGATTATTATATTTCCAAGTCAAAGAGCCCTGGAGATACATGAGAGACCTCATTTGTTTAATGTTTGGTGGCTATGTTTTTCAATCAATATCAATATCAAATCAAAGAATCTACCTCTGACTGTCTCATACAAAATAATAAATGTCTCCATCAACCACCAATCGTACATCCAAATACAAATAACAACGGGCTGGCTCTCTCATAAGAAAAGGACCCCACGAGCCCACCCAGAATGTACTCTTCACAACCTCACAGACCTCAATTCTTTTCTCTCTAAGCGCCCAACTGGAAATTTCAAAATTCCATCACATAGAAATGTCACTTACGAGGTAGGTGAGATCAAGTCAACCTCTCCAACCAAACTCTGACAACCACTGGATTGCCATGATTTGAAAATTTCACTCGCTTATGCGTCTGTTTCACACGGCACAGCCGTTGTTGGTCTTGCTCATGGAACCAATCAACAGATATTCCTGTTTGTGGAAATTATACCTGGGCATTTGTGTTACATACAAGCATCCATACCTACCTATGTTCACACTCGAGAAGATCCTTAAAATAGCGATTGTGATTCTGATATTCATCAACTACCTACCCAGGGACTGAGATTCTACTGTGAACAGAAATACCAAGAATGTGCGTTTGATCAACCGCTACCTACTTGCCAATCCACAGACTTCATTTCTCTTTTCCTTCCGTGGGTACGAAGATGATACAAGATGAATCGTATCATCAGAGCGTCCTCTGAGGGACCAGTGTTTAATACGGAGTACATTGACAGATACCTACCCAGATTCATCCAAGACGAAGATCCATATGTATAGCATCGTATATATAGCATCTCATATCCACATTGACATTCGTGCGAGAAGCTTTGCGATCTCCTTCTAGAAAAGATGCATGATCCGAATCCAGAATTGTCTACTATGATCTATGAATCATGATGTATAGCTACCTATCTGTTCTTTTGTTTCATTCCATCATCCTCAATCTCCTTTCACAAGCCTCATCATATCCACAGTACAGCAGCATAGAAAAACATCACCACTTACAAACCAGCCTTCGTAGCTCCTCGAGCAGAAACCAAAAACATCTCATATAAATTAATCGGCCCATCAACTGTCATCCACTTCTCAAACAAACACCCACACGGAGACTCTGGCTTGAGGGATCTAAACCCTTCTGACCTGACCTGACCTGACCTGACCTGACTTCGATCATGTGGCCCGTGATCTGATCGTCACTCTTATTTTCACTCCCTCAACCTTAACACTTATATACGTCCCCTCTCATCACCATACCCGATCACCATATAAATATCCAGCCAAACCATATCCCATCATCAAATCACCATCACAATACCTCAACTCAACTCAACACAACACAATACAACAAATCCATCCACCCCAAGAGCAAGCCTCATTAACCCTCCCTCCCCATCCTTCCCCAACCCCAAGTTTTGACCTCCTCATTCCAATATCCTCTACAAAGCCCCTCCAAGCTCCAAGCGCATCATTCCCACCACGAGCCTACGCATTGCGCTCCCCCACCACCCAGAAACTCAAATCTCATCACCCAATCGATTTCCCCTCCCGCACGCCACCCCGTTTGACATTTCTCCAGACGAAACACCTCCTTTCATCATCCCGGTCCTTATTCCTACCCGTTTGGTTTCACTTTTTGATTTTCCCTTTTGACTTGGGTTAGGTATACGGAGGGAGTCTATTCTCATTTGCATTTGCATCTATTGTACCTCTACATAGGAGAAAAAAGAAACCGGGTTTGATCACTTTTTAATACTTTCAATAAACCAAGTTCTTCTCCTTAAATCTAAAATAAAATATAAATTTTGATAAAAATCAGTAAAAATAAAAAGTAAAAAGTAATTTGATATTTTCAGATTTATTTATTTCATTTGTAGTTGATTTATAATTTAATTAATTTAGAGATTTTATTAAAGATTTATTTATATGATTAAAATCAGTCTCTTTTTTCTTATTTATTTATTTATTTATTTATTTATTTATTTATTTATTATTTATTTATTTATTTATTTATCTATTTATCTATTTATTATAACCAAATCCTCGATTCCACTCCTCATCCCCATCCCCATCTCAAAACCACACCCCAAATCCCAATATCATAAATCATAATATATACTACATACTACATACATCCACACACCCTCCATGCCACCCCCCCAAAATCCAGATCCAGATCCAGATCCATCCATCCATCCATACCTACCAAGAATCCAGATCACAACATCATACAAATACAAGCAAACGCTTAATTATTTATGCATAATGCTTAATACTTACTTCCCAGATTACTTTAATACTCCATACCTTCATGCTCCCATATCTTCATACCTTCATATCTTCATATCCTACCCTCTCTACCCACCCACTCACTCACTCACTCACTACTACATATTCTTCGAAACACCACCTCGTACCTAGCTTCACAAGCTCTAGACTCGGGAGTATACTATCCAATCCAATCCAATCCAATCTATAATCTCATGAGTTACGGGTTACGAGTTATAGTGAACAAGCAAGCAAGCATTTTTATAACATATATATAAAAGTTCTGGAACCTACTTATTATACCTTATATGGTGTCACGGGATCACCTCTGGGAGTATTCAGAAGCTTTACCGCTGAGCTAAACGCCCAAAAGACTAGGAGGTAGAACTGGAAGTTCTACCTTACTCTCACATATATAGCAGGACAGGACAGGACAGGACAGGACAGGACAGAAAGGGCTTAGTGTCACCCCGTGACACCTGGTTTTGTAATAAAATCTCTACAAAATAGCATTTTCCTATACAAATTAAAAAAATTAATAATGTTTTCAATTCAAAAGATTTTTCGAAAATTGAATGATATATGTTATATGGATATATATATAGTAGTAAGCTATCAGGAAACAATCCTGATACTGTGCCTTTTGGACAGATTGCGTGTGTGGCGTAGTGGTAAAGCTTACAACTCCTATTGTGTCCGCTTACGTAACAGAGTATCAGGGATTGTTTCCTGATAGCTTACTACTATATATATATCCATATAACAATATATAAATTATATTATAAATTAATTAAAAAATTAAATAGTTTATTTTTAAATATTTTTGTAAAGAAATTATATAAATTTGAATTTGAAAAATTAATTTTTTTAACTTGTAATACTTTTCCTATATAAAATAAGTGATTTTTTCGAAAATTTTATAAATTTTGTTTTCAATATCTTATAACTTTATTATTGTTTTTATTATAAAATAATATAATAATATATCTTTTTGAATATATATATAATAAAGTTCTATACTAGTATCGAATCACATGATCAAAACACGTGATCGTCGCTTATAAGCTTCCGAAAGCAAC